CCCTGGGGCGGCGTCCAGCGGGGGCGCGGCGGGGGCGCGGCAGGAGAGCCGGAGGGAGCCTCCTGCAATGAAGGGCTTTCGGGGAGGAGATATTCAATGTGTGCGCCTGCAGCTCGCCCCACTGGCTTTGTGGGAGACCCCAGAGGGCTAGCTGCGAAGAAGTGACCTGCCAACCTCGAGGTTCGCTAGTGTGGCGCCATCGGCATCCAGTACGCCTCTTAGCCCCTCACACCGCCCGGGTGTCCAGGAGCAGTGGGCGGGCACAGGCGCCCCAAGCCTAGGCCCTAAGCCTCAGAAAAGAAGGCCCTTGCCCAGCGCTGGTGCTCCCGCCTCTTCCTTCTCCTGGGGTTAACTTTGCTGGACTAGAGTCGTCCGCCACCCGTGCGGGCGCGACCGGGTGGCCTCTGGACGACTCAGGAACTGAATGCCTGGGCTCACCTGATGGCAGGGGCGAAAGTCCCCCCCGGAGCGGGAGAAGGTCAGGGCGGGGCCTGTCTCCCCAGAGGCCCTCCAAGGTTCTGACAGCAGGCAACAACCCAGGGTGAGAGCGACCAGCAAGTCTTTAACGTTTGGGACTAGTCGGCCTCAGGCCCCCTCATCTTCGGCTCCTTTGGAATACAGCAGGCCAGTGTGGGCACCTCACCCAAGCCTAGCTGCTGTCCTGACCCTGGGGTACCGGGGGTTTCCAGTGGGTTCTGCTCAGGGTGTATTTAGAACCAGGGGTCTCTGGAGGGACATGGGCTCATCACTCCCCGTCTATGCAGGTGCACTTAGTTGATACCTGAGATGTGACGCTCCTATTCCGTCTGCTCTTGGAGGGAAACCCAGGTGCCTCATTTCAAGGCTTGGCCTTTTAGTGAAGGGCTCTTGATAGTGATTCCGGTGTTATCTATGGGACAAACATGGCCCAGGAAGTACACCAGTTTGGGCAGGCGGACCCCAGCCAGGACACAGGTTGTGAGCGGGGGTGCCCACTGACCCTGCCTCCAGAATTGGTTTGTGGGGCCTGGGTGAGCAGCCAACAGCACCAAGCTTCCCCAAACGGGGTGGCTGGGCCTGGGCAGGGCAGGAAGCGAGGATCCCTGTTCAGAGGCCTGGGAAAGTGGAGCCGGTGAGCTGGGTTTCAGGATCAGGGAGATGGTCTCCATTCCTTGAGAGGCCGGAGGGGCTGGGAGCATCTATTTTACACACTGATCCTGGAAAGGAAAACAGTGCAGTGATAGTCAAAGAAGGCCCCCAGAGCCTCTGACGAGGGTTTGTGCCTGCCCGGCTTTCAGAGTGAGCACGCAGCTCAGAAGACAAATGGTCGGTGTTCAGGGGCGCTGTTTTCAGCGAGCTGTGGCGGAGTCTGGGGGAAGGCACTATGGATGTCAGGTCTGGATATGCGGCAGGCACTGGCGGTGGGGACGGCTTGGTGGCTTACTCCCCAGCCCGCTGAGTGCTCACAATCGGCCTGGGAATAGGTGAGGAAAGGCTGCTGAATGCCACCTTTGCATCGGGATGGGATTCCTGCTCCCTGAGCCCTCATCCACCCTTGCCTGGCGCCCCTCCCTGCGCCGGCCCTCATTACCAGGAGAGAGCGAGTTGTTTGTAAACAATAAATAATGGAAAGTAGGAGGACTTTCAGCAAAAGCCTGAGCAGAAGCCCGAAAACTGGAAGGAGTTGGGAGGAGGGAGGATGGGGGAAGGGAGGAGTGGAGGAGGAAGACGGAGCGAGATTGAGAGATTTATTTCTGCCAAGAAGCCCCGGTGGCTAGTTTCTTATTATTTACAGGAAGGTGATATTAGCAATTCAGGTGAGAAAGAAATAAACACGGCTGCCACGAAATCAATACAGAATTCAAAAAACAATTATTAATGTCATTTGACTCGTGTTCTTTATATATCTCTTCCGGCTACAGACGTTAAACTGTCTGAATAATTTGCATGGAGCGGCTATTCATTATTGCCAATGTTTTTCCTTTGCAAGCAGCTCGGACGTGGCCGGCTGCAATCCAACGCGATCGGAGAACTCGTATTTTCATCTGTAAATTAAAGCAATTACGCAGCAAATATTATATGATGCGTACTGTGGTCTCCAGATAGTCATCAATCACCTTCAACCGAGCTGTCAGAGCAGGCAGATTTCGTTTCTGGAAGGCAGGCTTGCAGCTGGGGAGAGAGTGAGAACGTCATCATTTAATTAGAGGGTGACCCTGGGGCAATTCACAGGTCTGGAGCCCCAGGAATCTTTCCCAGCAAG